GGACCGGCGGCAAATGCGTAATACGGCAAATATTCTTCACATTTTTTTGCTGTTTATATAGCTTATGAATGAATCCGATGAAAATAAATATGAAACATTTCCTTACTGAAACGCATAATATTTAATACATATATTATTGCTCTATTCCTAGTACTCTAATGTTGATATGTCACATGGCTGCGGACTGCAACCCTCTCTCACACACACACGCACATGCATTGCACTTTAGACTATTTTACTATTTTACCCCGCCCCCAGCTGCAGATTCGTTCCGCAATGCGGTGCCCAAAAAAAAAAAAAAATAAATAAAAAAAAAACAAAACAAAAAGCAAAAGAAACAAAGCATAATGCAAAAAAGCGTGGGAAGTTGGACTCATGAAAGCTTTTTGTGGCGCACCAATGGCACCGCGTTATGCCCCGCTACACACACACACATACACACACACACACAGAGACTCAGACATATATATAGAGAATTTGCTCACTCATGTATGGGGGCTGGGCTATGGACGATACCACGCCATGCCACCGCCACCTGTCCCCAACGGCCCAGACGAGAACGCCCGACTCCGACGAATACCGTTACGTGGTGTGCCGAAGAAAGCCCGACCCCAAACTGACACCAAGCGCGGCTAACCCTTTATCGCACATAGGGTTTCCTTACAGGACCGCATATTTAGGTTTTTGTTATGGGGTTTCACTGTCGCCATCCTTGGTACGCCTTCATGCGGTCTCTCTCTCTATGCACATGTGTATGAGACTCTTTGTGTGTCTGTGTTTGTGTGTGTGTGTGTGAAGGCTTGGCCACTGCCCGCTCACACACACACATTCATACACACACTCCCACGAAATTCTCTTGAGTTTGGGTTACCAAAATCGACGTGATGTTATATTGTATGGAAACACAATTTGCTCAATGCCTGCCGCCGTATCCGCCGCATCGAAGCCGTAGTCGCCGTCGCCGTTGCCATCGCTGCTGCTTTACCGTCGGGTGCCGCTGCCAGCTTCAAGTGGCTCGCTAGAGTGTGGGCGTGTCTGTGTGTGTGTGATCGTTGTAGTTTTGTGGGCTGTTACTGCTGCCATTTTGTGTGACAAAACCCAACTATGCACCCAATACCCCAGTTGGCAAAGTATATAGCCGTCTCACACACACAAGTACATATACGTAGGTATATGCACATAAATTAGTATATAAAAAGGATATGCTGAAAATGCTAATGGCACGAGCACAACAAGAACTTTGTAATGATATAAAAATAAAATAAAATAAAATAAAATAAAGTAAAATAAATACCATAATGAGTGCTAATGCATGTTGAAGGAGTTAGTTGCACACAAGCAGAATAAGACAATAAAACAAGGACGGAGAACTAACAGCAATATAGATGCCTTCAAATCTCGAATGTATTCCACATACATATAGAAAGTACCTTACATGCCTAAGCTGGCTTCTACGTTAAGGATTAGTGGCATTAAAAACGTTCCTAGCAATAACAATTAAGAAAAAACAATTTTCTAAGTCAAACTATAATAGAACTTAGTATATTCTTATTATAAAACGAAATATTATAAGCCTGGTACTTAGATCGATGAAAAGTTTGGGCGAACGAATCGTATAGAAAAAATAAAATATAATATTTATTTTTTCTATGTTATTATATTATATAAAAAATATCCGATAAGTAAGTTCTCATAGTAAGTAAGAGAAATATGTAAGAAACAAATCTTTATGTTCCATATTCAAGATTTTGTTTATTCAAGATGAACGAGTCTAAAATCAGATTCGGGAAAGTTGGACTTAAAACTCTTTCTTTCTCCGAGCCAGCGTGAATCACATTTGATTAAATATTTAAATCAGCCCCAGGACTTAAGCAGAGTTATAATAGTTCACATACACAAGCACATTATAATTCGGTATGGCATATTAAGCGAGTGAATGTGGTATGTCCTTAATTCGTACCATCTCATTTCCGCTGGAGACTAGAGCTGAAATCTAAAGTCAAATAATAGATATTTTGTTTATTGAAAAGAGAGAATTGGGAAAAAAATAGATTAACAATTATAGAATTTATTCTGAAAGCCTGGACATATTTTACACTCATTCTTGAATATTTGTTTGCTTTTAAAAATATTCTAATATTCCGCTCGATTAGGAGATATCGTGAACTCAGCTCCGCATTTGGTGCTTCTATCTAAATTCGACTTTTGATGCTGATCGTTATATAAAGCCATTTTATGATTCTATCCAGGTAATTTGATTTTATTACCTATTTGTTTTAATTAAATATTTAAGTATTTAATAAAATAACCTTTATAATTAATATGTAGTATGCGCAATATGTGTATTAATCTATTCGAGACTCAGCTCATGCTAGGATTGTCATAATACATTTAATTTATTGAATGCATTCATAAGTGTTTTTCCTTTTGAGAGAAATCGACATCCTGGCATCGTCAATGGAGCATGAGTTGCATCGATTTCTCTGAATTATTTTGTCTGCTGCACAAATGGCAACTTAATACCAAGATCCTAGACAGAATGACCACCCATCCACCCAGCGTCAATCGCAGCAAACTGTTTGACCTACATACAGGCACTTGTTCTACGAAGCAATATGAAGTGTCTTACGCGCTTCTGATTGTAGTTGTAGTTGTTTTTGTTGTTATTGTTGTTTTTGTAGTTGTAGCTCTAGTGATACTTATACTTATATAAGTATGCCAGAGGATACAGAGGATAATGCAGCATGCCAATCAAGTAATGCAGCAAAGTGGTTCCAGTCTGTGTCTAAGAATATGCCCCATCTTGGATTCTGGTTGTGCCCTCACAACCAGTGTCGCAGCCGTTTTTCTCACATACGCATACTTATTCCATACACTATCTTCTCCCAATTGACCCCCCCCCCCCCAAGCTCCCTTCCAACCCATCAACTGTAACACCTCTGGCCCCATGTCTGACTGGCTGGTCTGGTTGGTTCGTTGGTTGGTTGTTGGTGTCACATTTTCGGTGAAATTTTGGTTGCAAACTTTGGCAAAACTTGGCCAAGTATTTGGCCTCAAGTGCGACAGAGCGGGACAGAGACAGCCAAACTGAGAACGATAGCCAGGCTGCGTGTGAGAGAGAGACGGAGAGAGCCAAAGCGATTGAAATTGAGAGCGCGCATGTGGGCGGCATATGTGTGTGTGTGTGTGTGTGTGTGTGTGTGTGTGAGTGTGTGTGAGTGTGAGTGTGTTGTGGTCGGTCTTCGTTTTCGACTATGCGAGCAGAAGCGAGAGAAGCTTAGCAAGACGAGATTTTCTCAATGTTTGCTGCCTTGGAATTTTCTTAAGTGCGACTAACTCATACACACACATACATACACGCACACACACATACAACGATAACAATGAGTCAACTTTAGCAGCAGCATCTTCAGCGCCAGCGTCGAAGTCGACCGCGTAGTATGTGCGACTGCGGCCTGGCATTTGAGGCATTTAAGACTAGTTGCAAGTTGCCACCCCTCCCCATCGACTTCCCCCTCCCCTATCGACTTCTCCCTCCCCCATCTCCCTACACTCCCTCTCTTGGCAGTCCACAACTACCTTCCACAGCATCAGCAGCTTCCTTGACTTGCCCACAAATGTGGGCTGCCACTTGATGGCGGGGAATGCCGTAGGAGTTCAGCTCTTACGAGAGAGGGATGCAGGGATGGCGGATGAGGAGATTGAGGGGAGTGGTGCGGGGAAGGGGGGGGAGGGGGGGGGGACACAGGCTCGTCCAGACGGAGCAACGACATCGGCGACTGGGATAATTTTAATGAATTTATTTAGGAGTTTGCCTTGGAGCTCGCTTCGTTTCTCTGGTTCTTGTTCTGGCTTTGCTCTCGTTTCTTGTTCTCGTTCTCGCTGCCAGATTTTGCCTTGACTAGCATCCAGGCGATTGTCTGCCAAAGTCTTGTCCCTCGACTGTCTTGCCGTCCCCATGCCGAAGGTGGAGCTCTCATTGGGCGTGTACATACAAAGTAAAAGCGGGATGGAGAGACGGGGGACCTTGAGGGTTGCCAAAGATGCATTTACATAAGCAGCAATATGGCAGCTTGTTGATCTGATGATGGCAGAAGGAATAGGGAAGCAGTTGGAGCTGGAGCTGGGTGTGAAGCTGGAGGGGGAGCGAAGGAAAGTAGGCGGGATTGTTGCCCAATGTTGTTTTGCAGCAACCGAAATGTGCGGCAACGTTTTTGGTCTTGCACAGTGGGCTATATGTGGTCTGGCGGGCCTTCGCCTCAGTTTGGGTTTGGCATTGGACTTGCTATTGCTGCTCCTGTTCCTCTTCTGCCTGTTCTTCTGCGTCTTCTAGTTGTTCTTGTTCTTGGTTCTTGGACACATAGTTGGTCGTGGCTTATGATGTCTGTTTCCATATTTGAGTAGCCTTGAGCCCAATAAATGTAGCTCTCCAGCTTTCAGTTCAGTTCTCTTAGCAATGAATTCTAATATTAAATATTATCTATATTTGGAACTCTCGTGTTCAAGCTCTCCTTGATGTCTCGAGAGAAATATTTGCATATCGTGTAATTAACCAGAATTTTCATTACTGATTTGCACTCCATGCGGTTTTTACGGTTAAGTTGTTCGGAATCTAATTCAGTTATTTTATATAACGGCAGCTAACTGATTAACTTGACTCGCAATATTTTCCAGTTGAATGCACTTTCACATTGAAATTAATACACTAATTGAAACATTGTGAGGTTTCTTTGCAACCGCAAGTTTTAACAAAGTACCAATAAATGAAAAATATCACTTTAAAGTTGCAGGACTTACATATGAATTAAGTTAAAATGTGAATTATTGTTAATGCAAGGGTCAATTATTTATCAATGAGCATTCGTTTTTAATTAATCATAAAATTCAGATGTTAATTAGAACGGGAAATTCGATTAACAGGCTGTATGACAAAATTGCCTTGCTTATGCATTTATATACATATATATATTTATACACTTTGGTGATTTTGGTCTTTTCAGGATTCGCACATCATCTGGTCGGAATGCACAGCCATCTGCATGCACCCGATTGGCGAGCTCACATGGCACTGGGTGGTCGTCCCGGCTTTCCCGCTGGCCCCTTCTTTGCGCACCACCATGGAGCTGCCTTTCCGGCAACTGCAGCGAGCGGCATACGTGGATTGAGCGGTAACTGATCTCAATTTTGTCATTCTCCGCTCTTTTGCTTTATTAACAAAAATATTTGTGCTTTCTTCAGAGAATCAGCAGCCGCTGGCGACGGTTGGAGCGGCGCATAGCACCACCAGTCCGGAGGGCTCACCCACAACAACGACGAGTGCGACGCTGAGCGCTTTTGTGCAGCCGGCGGCGTGTAATGCCAGTGTGGGCAGCTCGCCACCATTGACGCTGAGTAGCATGCAGCACCACGACAATAACAACAACAATAGCAGCAGCAATATCGATGCGGGATTCGAGAGCGATAGCATCTCGGTGACGGGATCGCCGCGCAAGAGCATCAGCTCACTGACGCACGACGACGAGGAGTCGCAACCGAACCTGGATCCGGAGGCCGAGACGGATGCAGAAGCGGAGGCGGGTCGCAGTCGCAGCCCCACGCTGCTCAGTGCAGATGCCAGCAGCGTGGCAACGCCAACAGAGCCTGCACCTGGCAGCGGCGGCGCATTCACAGCACTCATCCAACGAAGCAAGAATCCCACAGAGCTATTTGGCGGCTTTGCGGCCGCCGGTGCCGCTAGTCATTTTGCACCGGCGGCGCACAGTTTTAATCCTGCTCTGGCGGCACAGCTTTTCCTGCAGAGCCCACTGCTGCCCCAGTCCAGTCAATGGCTCTACACTCAGCTCTATGGCAGCTACAGCGATCTACCTTGGCTACGCAGTGCGGCGGCAGCAGCGGCAGCCAGCACAACACCGCAACAGCAGCAACAGCAACAGCAGCAGCAGCAGCAGCAGCAACAGCTGCAGGATTCGGTGGTTCCCCTAGTGGCATCTGGTGATGCTGATGGTGTCAATCTAGTTAAGCGTTGCGTCACACTGATTACGCATAATCCACCGGATGCAGAGAATGCCAATCCGAATGCATCGCCGCCAGTTAGCTCCACACGCCGCTCACCCTCGCCGGTGGAGACAATTGATCTGGACGATGTTAGCACCACATCGAGATCGGCCAGCGGATCCAGTGGCGCCGGTGGACCTATACGCACTCGTACGCCAAAGCCGACATCGGATGTCTGGCGTCCCTACTAGCGACTGGCTGCCGCCTTGCTGGGCAATTGTCTGGCGGCACAGGGACAGGGACAGGGACTGGCACTGGGACAAGGATTGAGTCAGGGTCAGGGGGCGCAGCAGTAGGCTGAGGTTTATTATGAATTTAGGTCATATCTGTAACGTGCGAGGGTTGATCTAGAGTTGATCATTGATTGAGATTGAGTTTCTCACACTTATCACATTCAGAATTTTGCATATTCCAACTAAAATTCAAACCCAGATATTGATTTAGAAAAAGAAGACTGGCGAGGATTTATGTTACGTTATTGTTTGAATGTTTTCTAAAAATATACTGTTTAATTTTAGAGCATATAAATGGGATTCAGGTTCTGTGGGAACGTTTTGAAAAAGGTTTTACTTTGGATTCGAATTTTGTAATTAAGCAGGGATTCTGAATTCAAATTAATAAGCTTTATAAAAATATATTTAGTTAATCTCTTTTTATGTTTTCTGAACTTTATTTATGGAGTATGAATTGTTGCAAAACTCAAGCCTCAAAACTCTGTCGGCAATCCTCGCACAGGCTTTATGTTTTTTTAATTGTATTTTTTTGTAGAGTTATAAGTTTTAGCGGATCACATATCGAATTTAAATCAATTATCATTGCCCAAAGTAAAACTCAATTGTATTAAAGAGTGCCCGTTGTTGGGTACGCAGAGGGGAAGGAAAAGGTAGAAGTTGGGCAATAATTATATATGTAGGTTATAGAGATACCATCTGTGTAAATTGAAATATTGAACATATTTTGCTCCAAAAAATATTGCAAAACTACGTTAAGTCGATAAGAAACTAATTTTTTTTGCAAAAGGAACCCAAATTAATATTAATCAAATAAAATATCAAATACAGAAATTTAAAAATTTATTGAAAATAAATATAAGCACAGTGAAAACTTGTATATAGTTTCTTAAGTAGCGTGCCATGTTTCGTTAATAAAACTTCAACTTAAAATAATAAAAATAAGTTGTGAAAATAAAACAGAATATTCAGCTTCTGGCACAAGCACAGAAAATGAGAAAGAGATGGGGAGACTGTGAGAGAGAGCGAGAAAGATAGAGAGAGAGAGAGAGAGAGTGAGACGGTCAGATAATCAGCGCCGCCAAGAAAAGCTTTTAAGAAAATTAATTCGCATTTCTTTTGCACTGCATTCGCCCCGCACCGCTCCACCACACCCCTCATTTAAGGGGTTAAAAAGGCCGGCCGAATTTATAGCCGGGTCTTGGATGTTGGCGTAAATAGAAAGCTGGCAAATAAAAAGTTTAAATTAATGGCCAAACTTGAAAGCGAAAAATGCCAAACAGCTAGCTACTGAAAGACATCCACTAACCAACCGGGCTGATGCGACCGGTACCGGTACCGGTAACGAGGTATATAAACACACAAACACACACCAAGGATTAAACGGGTATGGGTCCATCTCCGTTTTTCTAAGCAATTCCATGCACTTTAGCTTATTCGGTTCGGTTTGCTCAAGGCGGATAAGGTGAATAAGGCGAATAAGGCGAAAAATAAATGGCTCTTAAGCTCATATTAAATGACGCCGTCAGATTTGAATAAATAACATAATTAGCGCAACATCCCAGAAAGTATAATCTTAAATCTACAATTTAAACAGAAATACATACATACAGTTCCATGTCCTGTCGTCGTTCTTAAGTACTTCGTGAGGTGTATTCCGGATGATTGTTGGATCTGGTTTTTTTGGTGACTCCTAGTTACCTTCACGTGAGTATTTTTTAAAATTACAAATACGAGTTTTGCTTATAGGAAATATATATACATATATATATTGGGTCATATATATAAAAAAAAAAACAATTATGGGTCGCGTGGAATATTAAATTAAAAATATATAATACAAATAAGAAAAAAGTGCCCCATATGGAGGAGATATGGAGATGTATAAAAATATGTAAATGCTATAAATGCTTTTTGCCTACAAAAACGGAACAATATTTTTGATTTTGAGTGTTATTAACTAATAGATATGGAATATATATATTCTTTACATAGCTTATAAATAATCGTAAGCTTTTTAATTCAGGGCTTTAAGCTTAAATTCAAAACATAATTGAAAACACAAATGTTAAAATATTAAACTATTTATTAGTCATTTTAATCGGGTAGCAATATTTTAATTGCGTCCAATTGGAATAATAATTTGCTGCAATTAGAAGCGAACATGATTTAATAGATAGGCAAATTTCTGAGAGCTGTAGATGAACACACATTCGCACACACACACACACGCGCACACACAACACACATGTGTGTACATACTCGTACATGTTATGCTTGACAGCGGAATCATAATAAAGAGCAAGCAATTTGCAATAAACAGAGTTAGGGAACTTCGGTAAGTGCTACCACATTTAAATTTATTGCATGCCTATGTGCAAGCATGTGTGTGTGTGTGTGTGTGTGCTAAAATGTGTCTCTAATGATGGCATAATTAGCAAGGCGCCAACGGTCGTAAGATACTCGAGATAGCTAAATTTGTGGTTGGAGATTCGAACTCACATTGTGCGACAACAGCTGAAGGCGTTGATAATGACATCAAGTCAACTTTGCAAAACGTGTCGTGTGCTATGCCTGTCTGTGTATGTGTGTGTGTGTTGCGTGTGGCGTGTGTGTGCCGTAGGGAGGTGTGTCAGTGTGATAATTGAAAGCCCACTTATTGCAATGAGTACCCGATGAATGCGCTGAGGCGTATGCCTGCATGTGCTATCTGTCTGTTCTCTATGTCTGTCGCTCTGTGGGTGTGGGCCAATTGATGTTGACATGGGGATTGAGGAGGGTGCGGGGTGCGGGGAGGTAAGTGTTGCCCAGGTTACCGAGTAGCTATAAAGTTTTCTATTTAACGCTTGAGCGAAAGTCACTCAGTTTTTGGGCAATGTCTCCGTGTTGGTGTGTGTGTGTGTGTGTGTGTTTACTTCAATTTCCATGCTTTTTAAGCCTCAAACCCAATGTTGAAAGTATTGCTGCCTTTGTTCGCCGCTGTCGTCCGGGGCAACAGTTTGTGTCATTATCGTTTCTTAAGATGGCCTTGCCAGCCAAAAACAGTCTGTCGTCATTGCTGGATCTGTAGCTTGAGATTCTGCTTCAACTAAATGGCCGTCGCCAGGACAACTGATGCTTGTTGTCACTGTCGATGCTTACAGCCACACAGACCAGCCACCGTTGCATGCAATCCAATTTCAATGGTTTTGCTAAGGCAGCTTGGATGCTTCGTCATGCCAATGACCAGCCGGTGTCAAAGGTGACATAAAGACGACGACGACGACGACGACGACGACCAATTTAAAGTGAAACAACCCCAAGAAACAACACTAAAATTCACTCTCTGACTGAGATGGAGTACATTGTCGAGACACACCAAGCTCATTGCTCGGACCGAGACGTGTTGATTTGCTTCCGACAGCCTGTTAACATTTTGGGCCAACCGGTCGTGACTCAAACCCCATTGAACCCAATTCCAATTCCATTCACAACACAAGCTCGCCTTATTTTGTGTTATTCATTTTTAATTTGTGCCTCTACGTTTTTTTATACTTTGTGCCCAAATTGCTGTGCTACATGTGTGTGAGGGTTGGCGGGGTACATAATTTACTTTAGTATGTTAATTTCGTATTTTAATGACAGACGCACTAGGATATCTTTGCTGACGATTTATCAGTTCCAACTCATAAGCCAAATTTAATTTCGTGTCATTTGTTAGTGATTTTTACACGCTAGATAAAATCCTCATCGTGTATCCCTTGCAATGGTCCTGTGCGTCCTTTTTGCTTGGGGTTGCGCGTCACATGTGGCGATGATTTGAGTGGCGTCATGGGAAACGAATGACAATGGAGCTTCCAGTATTTAAAATTATGATATTAGTTAACCCTGAGGCTCTGGGCCTTATTTAGGCAGTTAGCTTACTTCAAGGATTATGGGGTCATCAAAGAACTCTAACAAAAAAATGGGCATACATGCCCTTAGCATACAGGTGATTAGAAAAAGGCCCTAATCTGGACAAATCATAGACATTCGGTAGACGTGATATTAAATTTATTGAAAATTCGAAAACGGACTGATTCTAATCTGATTTTTTGTCATATCTTGTTCATTAGTTCAACCATATTCAAATGTATTTATTATTTAGCTGGGGTCATCAGGGAATGTAAACACAATATCGATTTCTTTTATTTATAATTATATATATATTATATATATACATTTATAAAGTGCGCTACGAGTTATGCTTATTAGATATACGAGTATGTTACAGCCAAGACTGAACTTGTGCACCCCTCACATACTTAACTGTGATTTCTTATTAAAGTCTCATTTTGGCTATGAGTCCCCGTTGCACTTCCGAACCTGAAATAAACAACCAGCCGGAGGCACAAACTTTGCAACGGGAACCACAAAACATTTTGTTGGACAGCAAATGGCCGGCAAAGGACAGCAACATCAACAACAATAACAACAACATCAACAACAACAACAACAGCAACAGTAACAACGACGACAACGACAACGTCGCCCGGGTACCCGTCCCTTTGCCCATAATATGACAGGTGGCCACCGACCCAAACCCACTTTCCTGGGCTACCCAGGCGGAGCTGCGAGGAGGAATGGCCAGAAAAGCCAGCGCCCAGTTCCCAGTGCCGGTTGTAGCTGTGCTGCTCTAGCAGTCCGTAGCGGCGCTTTGTCACAGGAACTGTTAATAATGTGTAACCCGGGAGAGAGGCACAAAATCAGCGTCATTGGCGCACCTACAACATGCGATGTTGCGGTCAGGGACAACTTCGTGCCGTATCAGCGCGTCGCGAATAAAATGACTGAAAATAAAAATGCAGCGGCAGGAGCCATAGCAGCAACAGTAGCGTGTCCATTTCGAGGATATTTTTCGGGGCAGCAGTCGAAGGGGATGGTTGAAATAACCGAGCAGCCCCATCATGAGTGACGGCGCCGCTGCGTCAGCGGCATGTAATTTTCACGATTTTTCGCAAATACGGAAAACGAGAAAATACGTAAACGAAAACTCGCTGCCAAAAACTAAACAAGATGCAAAATCAGTTGACAATGAAGCGCACTTGAAATACCCTTACCAAAAGTCATAATTCATAAATAACATATTGTTTTAGGAAGAAGCACAAGTAACTATATAGGCACTATTAACTATACAGTTAATAGATAACAGTGCTGAGTAGATGATTGCACAATCGAATTGAATTCCAACATTTCTCGGGACCTGT